GAAATAAAGGTAACGAACTTCAAATTTTGAAACAAAAAAAAAAAAAAAAAAAAAAAAAAGCGGCCCCGGGAATTCTCATGTATTGCTGATGTGTCGTAACACTTTGGGATACTCGCCCTGATTTTCAGCAGGGGAGAATCCCTAGCAGGACCAACCAAGGAGGCCTGCTAGTGGGGGCTCTGCTTCTATCACCCCTCCTAGCAAGCCACGACCCGCTTTGCCTTCACAAAAAAAAAAAAAAAAAAAAAAAAAAGATGTAGGCAAAGAAAAATTCCTTTAGGGCGTTTGTTTTTTTTTTTTTTGGGGGGGGGGGGGGGGGGGGGGGGAAGTGGGTGTATTGTTTTTTTTTTTTTTTTTTTTTTTTTTACTTAGTTCTCTCTCTTATGAGTTTCTCTGTGTGCATTTTCAGATATTTGTTTTGAGATCTTAAGCCTCTTCGGACACCCCCTTCCCCCCCCCCCTTGCCCCCCCTTTCCCCCCCCCACCTCTCTGAATTCATATTGTGAATTTTGGCTTGTTTTGTTATTTGCATCCAGGTGGTGCTGTTGGGAAGCGATGGGAGAGAGTATCCTTTTTTGTGCAAGCCGAAAGACGATCTCCGCAAGGATGCGCGGATGATGGAGTTCACGATGATGATCAATCGGTTGCTGTTGAAGGACTCGAGCAGTCGACGGCGCCATCTGTACATCCGGACGTTCTCGGTGGTCCCGCTGACCGAGGACTGCGGGTTAGTCGAATGGGTGCCGCATACGCGAGGCCTTCGGCATATTCTCCAAGACGTCTATGCGGGTTCGGGTCACTTCGATCGACAGCGCACAAATCCTCTCATCAAGAAGATCTACGATCAATGCCACGGCAAGATGACCGAAGCGGAGATGCTGACCACAAAGGTGTTGCCGTTGTTTCCTCCAATGTTTCACAAATGGTTTCTGAACACATTTACTGAGCCTGCGGCATGGTTCCGAGCGCGGTTGGCGTACGCACACACATGTGCCGTGTGGTCCATGGTTGGGCACATGGTTGGCCTCGGCGATCGCCATGGAGAGAACATCTTGTTCGACAGCACAACGGGTGATTGCGTTCATGTCGATTTCAGTTGTCTCTTCGATAAGGGCCTTCAGCTAGAGAAGCCAGAAATGGTTCCGTTTCGCCTGACCCAGGTAATTATCATTTGTCTGATTCATTGTTTAAACTTCCAAAAATCAAAAAGCAAACTGTTCAAGAGCTGTCTCTTATACACATCTAGATGTGTATAAGAGACAGGTACTAACCTACCAACCTCAGTTGGCTGCACTAA